CAACTGTGCTGCAACCCGGTTACCCTTTGGGGGTAGAGTGCCAGTCTCTTCCAGCCATGATCGTGTGGCATCTTCTTCAAAGGACGAACCATTAGTTTCTGAAAGACTTTGTTGCCTTTCCTCCTCTGAGATCGGTTTGCCGCCGATCTCGAAGAAGGCTTGAAGTCCGATTTCCCTTACTCGATCCCAGAATTGGCTATCGCGCTCCTCATTCGCGCGCATGGTAGTAGACCGCTCCTCATCTGTTGTGATCCACCCAGTTGATCCAGGAAGTGCCCAATTCGGAATGCCGGAGTGGCGATGGCCTTGCGCTAGGTAGTTGAAGGTGTCTTCCTTCGGCCACCAGGAGCTGACTCGCAGAAGCTTCACGAAGAAACGGTATTGCTTGACAAGAACTGCAGCAAACACATCCAACGTGACGTCTAGCACACGACCGACATCCATGTCAAATGCGCCAATCATAGCCTTGACTCTTTCAAATGTATCCTCGACCACCTCGCTCGAGGGCGGCTCATTGTTGCTTGTGGTGAATAGCTCGGTGATAAGTTTTGAGTATCCCTCGGATTCTTCCCGGAGAAGATTGTAATTGGACTGTCGGTAGAGGAGATTGGTCTGCTTGCGAATTCCCATTCGCGCAAAGGTTTCGCGAACCAAGCCCAGGGCCTGCAACAACGGAGTCTCAAGCTGAAGACGCATCAAAGAAGGATCAATATCTGTCGCAAATACAAGTGGTTTCAGAGCCGCGTTCGAGGTATCAGCGTCGGTCACGATGGAAAGTGTATCGAGGAACAAGGAGCGCGGATCGATTCCTTGGATCGAAGGCTTTCCAGTGTCGGCCTCCATATCCACATCCTGGGAGGCAGATTCTTCGCCGATGATCTCTTTGACAGCATTTCCTGCATCCGATGGTGACAGTCGACCGTACATCGCGGAGCGAATAAGCTCCTGGTAGACAGATGCAAGCCGAGCCAGATCCTGTTGCAGGCGAGCCGCAGTCCCTTCTTCGACTATCTTTTGCTTACCCGCTGAAGTCCATTCCTCAATAGCATTGTCGGTCACATATTCGTAATCATAAGGCGGGGGTGGGAAAGAGGGAGGGCGGGTGATAGTCTCCGAGCCAGCTCGAGACGGCGGGTTAAGTTGCGGTTGTGAAGCAGGAGTATTCGGCGCAGGAGAAGGGGTAGGTCGTGACGTGGCGGAGTCGCCATTGTAAGGCACAGGCTCGGCAGCTTCTCTGGGCTGATTTATTACAGGAGGAGACATAGCGTTCGGTTCTCTATGCTGTGGATTTGAAAAATTCTGACCATCGTGGGATCCGCGGCGGGAACCAGCCCGGCTGCGATGCGATTGTCGGCGAGATCTGTCACGCGTGTCGTTCTGCTCTCGGGGGGTGGGGGATTGGTGTCCGGGGTTGCTAGGATGATGTGCCATGTTGAGGGTCCCAGGGCGATGGGGTGAAGGTCGCAAGTCATTGCTCCCTGACTCGCCAGGCCACGAGCGATCAATGCGTTTCCGCTTGCCACCATGCCCGTACCCAGGCGCCATGGTAGGTAGCCTGGTTAGACGCGTTGGGTTATGCCGGTGGAACGAGACGCTGAAAGGTTGCAACTCATGCAGTCGTTTCTGTAGGAGCCCGGAGGAACGTGTGTCAGCGCTTGCGGCGAATTAAGCGGAGTAAAGAAAGAAGACAAATAACGCGCATAGCAAACGTACCAGCAAAGATTGTTCGTTGAAAATAGGCGGCAGAGAAGCCAAAGGCGTGTAAGGTGAAGATAGAAGAGGCTGATGGTCAAAGCTCGGTCGGACCCAAGATGTTAACTTGTGCCTGAGGTGTCGATGATATATTCACCTGTTCACTCTCATTTGTCAACTCAATCGATGATAACTTCTATTGTTCTCCCTATTGATTGGAAAACTAGGTCATTATGGTAGAATTTAAATGGTAATCTTGATCACATCTCAGTTCTACTAACACCGCTGGGCAATGTGTATGCTTTATACATGGATGCATTCATGAGTATAGAACAGACAAAAACAATGCTTGATTACAATGCAATCTACCTACCTACCTACCGGATTTCCTCTGCCACTTCTTGGCGTCCCCTTTCCGTTTTAGTGCTCAGACCTTGCCGCTTTTTGCTCACTGAGTAGAACTGAGCACGCCTCTGAGCGGTCTGATCTGGATCTCAGATCATTACGTAAACATCTGATCCAACTTTCTGAGCATCACCTGATACCCTTCTGAGCGCCCTGATTCGCTCACTGGGTCTGAGCATAGCCAGGGGTGAGCGGCCTGAGTAAGCTACATCAATAAAATGCAACAAGCTAGTTCCGTCACGTGTACCCCTCCACTTCTAGATGGCTCCCATCGTCCCATAAGAAAAAGCCTGGCATCATCAATGTGATCTTTAATCCTAGTAAACTGGCTGCAATTAGTTGCGCCATAATGGAGCTTGCTACTTGGCCATCCAATCAGCATTGCAATTCTATGCTCGATGCTCCTGGGAATACTTTGTCTACTTGGTCCCACGATTTCCCAATCAGGCTTTAGAAGACTACCGGAGCGCAGGATATTGGATCAATCTACCTGGAAATCCCTAACATGTCCTGATACGGAGCTTAGCCGAAAAGATCTTCAAAATGCGGAGATAGAGAACCGCTTCTCTGCCAATAAGCGCATGCATCCAGACCTGCATAAGCACTCGTGTTTTCTTTATGAGGCTCCAAAAATGTTGCTCCCGGGAGCTGGCCGCACGCTCTGCATGAGGTCGACGAATTCGCCATATTACCATATTCTCCGAACTCGAACCGTTTACCACCCTCTATTTTTACTAATATCAATCTTGTGAGGGGCTACGCTAGGACAAACAGCTGTTCCTTGACCCTCGAAGATGTCGCGCTAGGAAGTGTAGGAGAGGGGCTTCCTCACGCTCTAGAGAACCCAATGCGGGTCACTCGTAACGTATATCCTCCAGTCCTCATGTATGTCTGTGAGACATTTATAGCGAACAAACTCTGTTCCTGGGATCCTACCGCGCGAGATCCTACCGCGCGACCAGCCAGACCCTATTACGCAAAATACCCAGGTGGACGTCCTAGGAACTCAAACCATATCCACAAACCCTTAGGTTGCTGCCTATAGACTTGCCAGAGGATATCAATGATAAAGTGGTGCACTGTGAGATTCTCCCATGCATACTGTGCTGCATCTACTAACTCGGCCCAGGTCTCATTGTTATTAGGCATCTCTCGTAACCAAGGCCTTAGCTTTAAGATATCTGCCTTTAACAATGCCCAGAGGTTCTCAATTGGGTTTAAATCAGGTGAATAGGCCAATCCATGATATTGACACCTATCTCGCATAGTAGTTCGTGAACAATATACATAGTGTGTGTAGGCGCATTATCATGCTGAAAGATAGCATCTTCATTTGCAAGTAAGGTAGGAAGGATACCACGGTAGAAATTATAAATAACCTCTTTTGTAATACCCTTCCTCTCTGCATTTGGATCTCCTTATAGAGGGATAAGGCCAGGACGGGACTGGATAGCATCATACACACAATCCCGATCTTCTTCGGTAAGCTTCCGAGGCGGGCCAGGGGAGGTATTGAAATACCATGAGAACGCTTTACTTCCTGGCGTAAGGTATAATGAATGGTTAAGAGAGGGACATGAGGGTATGCATGCTTTTGAATGCGTTTAGCACCCCATTTTGCTGAGCATTTTAGCTCACATATACGCTCATGAACGTATTGTGGAAGCTCCAGGCTGCAGGCCATAGTAGTAGAGAGTATAGAGAAAGAATTAGAAAGGTAAATAATAGGGGGGAAAGAGGGTAGTAGCCTCTATAATACTAGTATACTATATGCGCTGCGCGCGGGGTTTATACTAGTAGGAATAGGCAGTAGAAAGAGTGGTCAATGGTGGAGGTACCGGGGTGCAAATACTCATGAAACGTCACTGTACGAGATTGGAACGCAATACCATCGAAATATCCTTGGTGAGCTCTAAGATCAGTCGCTTGCGCAGTGGACAACCAGTCTATACCGAGGAAGAAGACCAGCTTCCTATTGATGCTATTAATGTAATGACCGGTGATCACCAATTCCCGCAACGCGATGAAGCTCTTCATGGGGGTGAATCCCCGATACCCATCCTTTGGCGAACATGAGACACCCTTACCCTTTCCCCCAATTTCCTTCCGCCTAACCTTTAAATTGTCCAGAGAGCTGGCCATATACATGGCAAAACGTATTCCAGCCACATTTCAGAAGTTATGGGTGTGAGGTTTTCAGTAACCAAGTTCTCTAATCGCATGTTTGTGTACCGCAGGCTGAAAATATATCCAACTTCCCCCCGTCACGGTCCCTTTTGTCAAAAACAAACAACGCTAGCATTGTCGATATGATGGCCTCATACTAGGGCTTCTCAGCTCACCACGGCATGATGAATTTGCTGAATTTGATACTCTAAGCTTAGTCACGGAATAGTCATCCTATACTGATTTGAGCATTTCTTAGACGTCGGATTGAATAGATTGAATGTTTGGCTGCTGGCCCCTTGATCGGTAATTGTCTACATGTTTTTTGAGTGGGATTCCGTTACACGGTATGTACGGTGTTGTGCCGAGGGCAGATATTTGACCGCACGCAATGCCCCATATTCCGCAGCCTAGGAGAGAGGAGTTCGCTTATTCTGGTCGCGGTCCTCCTTTGCTGCCCCCTGCTTCCATTGTAGCAGATAAAGAAGGAGCTCCGTACAGTCACCCATTGCGGCGTAATGAATAAGAGATTTGGCAAAAGGACCTCGTGGGTTGCATATGCCTTTGGATTTGAGCGATAAATGTGCATCCTCGAGGAAAGCCACGACGTCTTTGTTTAGGAAAAGACCCCTGAAGCCCTCTCAAAATTGAGATCTGCAACGGCAAGTCTTCGTGCACCGTGCTTCGCGAAAGAGAGCGCAGTTGCCTTTGTAATTCCTGTGTCTTGATCCAGCGGGCTAGATAGGGGTATTGGGCGGCCAGGTCCGAAGTATCACAGAAGTTTCATCCTCGTATTGAGGGTGAACTTTCACATCATCCAAGTCAAAATCCCACGCCTTTGCCACCCGACTATCTGGCCGATATGGGTGGAAACATTCCCATTTCAAGATAATCTGGTCGGCCTTGTTCTGGAGACAGAAGGTAAACTGGCGATGGCTCTCCACCTCAATTTTCACGTTCTTTAAACGGGGCATGCGCTGGGCCGCATAGCCGAGCGATATGAGAAGTCGATGGAAATGTTCTTTAGTCGGTAATTCCGGCCAGCCCCATCCCGCTTCGACATCGCATATCACGTCTTCCCAATTTTCAATCTCGTCGATTTCGCTTTGGTCTTCCGGTGTGTTATGATAAGTTGGTTCTCCTGTTTGATTTGTTTTTTCTTAGACGTCTTAGATATACTTCAGCTTTTTCTTTCGGTGCTTTCTTGTTCCAGGAGGGACCGATTTCTTACCTGAAGGAAGCCAAGGTGGTATACCCTCAAGTTCTAATACCTCTAGGTAGGGTATTCAACTGCAAAGAACCCGGTTTAGGCTGACCTTTTTCATCCAAAGGACACAAAAAGTCATATGCGATAGTAGTATTCACCAACTTCAGTTGCTGAAGGTGAATACTGAGATCTCGTAAATTGGAGCTCACACCATCAACACCAGAAGGGATGACATTGAGTGGGGACATGGCCGGTTTCCACGGGGCATCATCATGTCCTTGATAGAGTAGCACTCTTAGGCTCTTCGGAATAGAGCCGACTAAAGAAGATAACGCTATATAGCTATTAGTAAAATTCCTAGGGTTAATGGAAGTTCACAACAAAAAGGGTATAGCTCACCTTCGCGACGTGCCTGTATATACTCCAGGTGGTCTGGACGGACAAATTCCTCAAGATCTAGCTCCAATTCAACGATTTGGGTACAACGTTGAATTATAGTCCGCATTGCACCAGTCCAGATTTGATTACGGTTTAGAAAAGAGAGCTTCTCAATGCACGGAAGAGAGGGTAGATCCGACATATCCTTGAGGAACCGCGCTCTGTATGGGGGAATTGATAATATACGCCCATCTCGATAATCCCAACGATAGTCAGCGGCGATTTCTGAGTGCCGAGTATGTGGTTCCGGTGCAAGACCTTGCCGACGACCTCGAATAGCTAGATTTAATCTCAGACGGGAATTTTGATCCCATGATTGGAGCTCTTGGAAAAGGCTAACCATAGCTGTCTGAAAAGCTAGATCGTTGTCCTTTCGGATAGGGTTATCTATACTATAATTTTCAGGACTCTTCCAGTGTTTGCGTGCGATCCAGTCTAAGACTTCGTAGGGGACGAGGATATTGTATTCAAGCTGTCGGAGGTAGGTTTTCCGTATAGCATGATCGCCGGATATGAGCTTTTGGAAATTTTGGAGAGAAATTTCACGTTGCCCCTCTTCTTTGTGTTCATCGTCACTATAGACAGCTAGGTTGGAGTAGATGAGGGGTTCAAAAGCCGCCTGCCATGAGCGACAAACACAAGTGCATGGAACTAGAGAATTTCCATCATTTTGCAGAAGAGTTGCGATCTGGAATAACAGTTCAGGCGGTAGTGTTGCCGTCATTATGCTGGTGAGGTGTCTCAACGGAACATAAACCTGCGGAGCCAATTGGATTCTCTGGGAGCTACAGATAGGGAGCAAAAGGCAGAGAAAACTGCATGAATTGAGATCTCTGTAAAAAAAAGAAGAAAACGGACGAAGAGAGAGAGGGGGAGAAAGAGGAAGGGAGGGAGTGAGGCTGAGGCCAAACTAACTATCTGAACCTGTTTTTGGGGCCATCAAAAAGTAATTAACGAATAAACAGAATTGTGGGGCCCAGTGCTCCTTTAGGTATGGACTGAACGTGGACTGAGTGCTCATTAGATGCCTCTGATCAAACTCTGAGTAATCAGTGAGTCTGAGCCCGGACTGAAATTCAACTCTGAGCGCCCTCATTAAAGCGGCGGCATCTGGAATAGGAAAGCCCCACCCAGCAGAGGAAATCAAGTACGCATAGCTACCTAGGTAATTCTGCCACCTCCCGGGTTAAAGGCTCACATGCCTTTTTAAAAAAGCATGTAGGAGCTTCAATAGGGGATATGTTACTTGTATTCGAAAGGATTTCACAAGCTTTATAAGCCCAACATGCTACCCTTGAATATGATCTTATAAGAGATCAAATTGAGAAGGTAATAGTACCATCACAAGAGCTTTATACTAATATAATGACTAGGACCTCTCGATATTCGATTCGACGAATTAGTGAGCAAGTTTCGAATGCTAAAAGAGTTACAGATCTTGCCCCTTTAGCTCCCTGTACGAATACTTTTACAAGGACAATGGCCTTCCTTGTGCGCACCGGATTTCTACTCTACTAAGGAGTAATGAAGCTATTCTATTGGCTAATATCCACCCATTCTGGAAAACCGGCCTTTGCGAAACTGAATCAGAATATCTCCCACTTTTAGAGCCTCTGATTCCTTTGCCAAAGCCTAAGAAGCGAAAGCTGGATCAATTAGAGCAAGGTAGTGTGGTCGAACCTATACAGAAGAGAAAGAAGGCACCGTCAAAGTGTACTATATGTGGACAAATAGGGCATACACGGAGGTCATGTAAATAGAATTGAATTTCAAATACAGTGTTATGGACATGCTAGTCACCAATCGATGATGATCCCGCAGTTACACCAATGGGCCAACGAGAGCCAACCGACCAACACCTAGGGTGCACCAAAACCCAACCCAATCTATGGGCCCCCATTAAACCCATTAAAACCCATTAAATCGTAAAAACGTGACTTCCACATGACTACATAATTTATGCAGTTCTAGGTGGGTTTTTTTTGGTATTTTGTATACATATGAAGTCTGAATTTATATATTACCATCTTCCAACTTTGTCAAATGTATCAAATATATATCTT